AACTTTTTTTATGTGTACAGTTTATCCATAGGACATTTAGTATCAGAGATAAAAATTGAAAAATTAAAAGACTTTTTACTTGACATCTCGTAGTGACCTGGTCCTCTTACTGTTGTCTTAAAGAAAACAGAAACAACAGTAGACCAATCGAATTAAAAAAAAAATTACCTTATAGAGAACGACAAAACGAAACTTTTTTTATCTGTACAGTTTATCCATAGGACATTTAGTTTCAGAGATAAAAATTGAAAAATTAAAAGACCTTTTTCCTGAAATTCAATTTTTCCAACAAACCTCCAACTTCACCAATATTTATTATCGAAACTAAGGGTCCCATGAATAAACTGTAAATATAAAAAAGTTTTGTTTCATCATTCCCTATACTCTGATATTTTTAAAAAATTCAATCCCGTTATGTAATAATTATTTTCTTCAAAGCAAATCGTTTAACCTCGATGCATGAAAAGTCTATTACGCAACATCACCGAACGCGTTCCAGTTATAAGAATAAAACAGCGACAAAACGCGTACGATTATTACACAGGGAGGTCGCTTCTTCTTACCGAACGTGGTATTGTAACGCTCTAACGGTAGTTGATCAACGTTTCAAGATCATTGGGAAGAACATCCAGTGTTTAACGAGTGTATTTTGACACGCGATACCTCGCGGACCACTGCTTCGCCTATGTTTATGTTTGCGTCGACATTCGTGACCTACGTATACTATTTACGCCGGCCGAGCCTTGGTTTAGCCCACGATCATAATAATCCTTATTACGAAAACTCATTTTACGCGAAAATCAGATTCCAAGAAAATGCGACGAGCATACCCCAAATGGAAAATAAATACGTGTCCTATGTTAGATTTAATTACACGTGGAACGAATCGAGTAAATATTTCGGGCGTAGATAAATTCGAGGAACATATTTGATAGAATTCGACCTTGTATCTGCTTAGACTACGATCCCCCATATAATATTCTCGGGAGAAGATAACACGTGATAGTCCGATAAACGTTGATCTAAATAACGTAAATAAGAGACTTTGGAAAAATACGAGATAGAGAGGGCAAACTGTAAACGTCTACGATAACAATGTGAAACGCGACGTTGTTCTAAACGTTTACTTTTAAAGAACTCTTATTTTCCGACTAACCTAACCTCGAATTGATACAACATGGTCCGATGATCATGCGCGGAATATATTCCCTCCCCTCGAAACTACGAATGAAAATCACGGGGCAAAAATATATCGCGTACAAATCGGAAGTGTGTTTAATATCGATAATAAAAAGGAAATCTATTTGCAATGCAACACCTTTGGAAAATGTTCAAAAGAGGAAACGAGACAAATACATCGGCAAATTTCTGATTTATTCGAAGCCAATGGTTTTTTGCCTATCGCTGATCCTAACTCTATCTGGAATCGTCGTCTAGGTGAAAGCACCCTCTAAAATGCCTCCGGAGACGAGGTTCGAGCGACACGAGGGCATAGAGAGGCGAAACGCGGAGATTTTGCGGCGCGGAATTTACGATAGATATGTCACGGTGCCGTGTATGCAGGGTGTCCCAAAAATGTTGTAACACCTTGAAAGAGGTGGTTCGGGAGGTGATTTGAAACAACTTTTTCCTTAGTGAAAATCTTGTCCGAGGCTTCGTTGAGGAGATATTAAAGGAAAACACTGACCAATCAGAGCGCGCGTATACCGTTGGAGCGGCCGCGGTAGCGAAGGCTATGTGCTGAGCGGCCGGCGCTTGTACGCGAACAAGTGACTCGACGTGCATCGAAGGACATTGGACGCGGCCGCTCAGCGCGTAGCCTTCGCTACCACGGCCGCGCTAACGATATCCGCGCGCTCTGATTGGCCAGTGTTTTCCGTTAATATCTCTTCAACGAAGCCTCGGACAATATTTTCGCTAAGAAAAAAGTTGTTTCAAATCACCTCCCGAATCACCCATTTCAAGGAACTACAACATTTTTGGGACACCCTGTAGATGGAAGCAGCGTATATTGCGAGGGGTCATCGACGATGGCGATACACCTTCGACGACCGACCGAGAAGGAAAAAGATAGATAGAGCGAGAGGGGGAGAGTTTCTATGAGAATCAGCTTGACGGGTACGTAAGGTCGCGTGTAGAGCACTTACTCCAGCTCGACAGGCACGTTGCAACGAAGGAGGAAAGTCATGGAGGGTGCATGGATCGATGCTCGGCTGGGAAACAGCTCGGTCCCGGACAGAACAGCCGATTTCGTTTCTAATATCACGCGCAATCACCGGATAAAGGTCTATTTACACATATCCGTAACGTGGCAGTTCCGTATCCGTACCGTATCAATAACGTCACGGAGCGGTGTCGGACGTGTGTGAACATGCCCTTTCAAAAACAACAGAAGAATATTTAAAATCACCGACACTAATGGAACATTACGAAACTGAACGAATACGGAACTGACACGTTACGGATATGTGTAAATAGACCTTAAAGCTCGATTTCAGATTATACGACACGGACCGTCACGACAAAACATTAAAACACGCGTTTTCATGGAACTATTCACACTTAACAGACACCGACCCGAACGTTCCGTCAACGGGAACAGTGTGTCGCCCTTATGTGTCGTTGCCGGAACGTGACGGTCCGTGTCGTACAGTCTGAATCGACCTTAAAACTGACCACGCACGCTGGTACGCGCGACGATACCTTTCCGTGCCCTTGTTTATCGTCGAAACATGTTTTCATTTTTTTTATCTATCTCTGTCTACTGCTTAACACTACACGAGGGTACATGCACGAACGTCGAGACCATCCAAGGCGTTCTCGAACGTTACTCGTCGTCAAAAGACACTCGCGTCACGCGGTGTCGAGGGGCAGATCGAGTCGCACGCTCGATAACAAGCAGACGACAAAATGGCAATTTCAAACAGAACTCCAGCGTCGCGAAGTTGGCAGTAATTACTTTTTGCAACAATCGCTCGCAAAATTAAACGAGAGACTACTTTCGCGTAGTTCGTACGCGTTCAGAATTCACAGTGTCCGACTTGTCGTGAATTAGATATTTTTTCGAACGCCGATTTGCGATCGTGATACAGCGAGGATAGGTATTTCTCGTATCAGATCAATGGACTAGTCGAAACGCGTGACCATGGGGACGTACACTGTAAGAGAATGCCCTGAGTGGAATTCGGATTAGACTAGAATTTTTAACGTATTTCACCGTCTGTCGAAATTGCGTGTTACGTAGCCGGGCAATAACGTTACCAGCGTGGAAACGCAATTTGATCGAGTAACATTGAACGTCGCTCAGGGACATTCTTTCCAGAACTTGCGAAAGCATGCTCGGGAAAGGACAGTTGGCGTATTCGGTAATGAATTCGATTGACAACCACTCACCGCCAATGCTGAGAGTTCTCCATCGAGTTTTCCGCTTAGAACCCTTCTTGCCCATCTCTTGCGAAGACCGAGCTGGTCCTCCTCCCTTCTGTCTCTCGTCTTCCCACCGATCTCGGCCGACTTTCTAGGACGAAAGCTCCACCGGAATCATGTCGAACGCGACGAATTATCGCCACTACCTTCGCGGTAGCATCTTAACGACTCTACGATCAATGTATCCCGCGATCTTCCAGAGAGAAGAAGAAGCTTTGTAACGAAACTCCCGAACGAACGAGGCCTGCCCGTAGCAGAAGACAACCCGAATACGTAATCCGCGCCGCACGAATAGCGACCGCACACTGCTGTCCCCACCTTACCTCTCCCTTACACTCCCCACCCTGCCCTCGCTGTTTCCCCACCACCGCTCCACTGCCGGATCGAGACGCGCCGGGCCACGGGTCAATCGCTAGCGAGGGCCCCTTTTCCTCGCCCTTTTCCACACCATTACTCTCTGAAACAATTCACAATAAATGTTAGCATCATCGAAATACAGTCAGTGTAATAAGTAGACTGCGGATCTTTATGCAAAATACTTTTCCATTAAAATTCATTTTACCCTGCAAATATTACAATACAAACTTTACTTTCAATATTTTTTTATATTATTGCATACTGTGTGCATTTTGTAGTTTCATGCATATTCAAATTTCCTATAAACGCATAAAAATCCGCAGTCTAGAAATAAGTATTTGTATAGGAACCATTTATTTAAAATTAGTTCCTTTTGTTTATTATTTCAATTTTGACTAGCATACAGACTAATAACGAAACTGATTATTTACACGAATCTTACCATTTTTCAAGAACAAAGGTTTCTCTTCTATGATTCTGAATAGTACTTAAATTAAAAGCCAATAAATTAGGCCCTTCGATAAACCCTTCGACTTAAATGTTCCAAGTTGAAGTTTCGTTAGCTCTCGGCTAGCTTCGCCCCTGGTTAAGCCTCTGTCAACTTCGATGCGTCCCGTGGTACGTCGGGTTTCTTGTTGGATTTTTCGTTTATGAAGCGAATTCCTCCGCAGAGATGCGCCTTTACAAATTGTTTATGGCAAACCGTACAACGTGATCACACAATCATGGAATGTCATTTGAGCTTTTGGTCATAGAATCGACTCGAAATTTCTCTTTTCTGTTCAAATGTTTCAAACGACGGCCAGATAACGCACGCGTGGATTGGTCGATGATTACCGTCCCGTTATTGGTTGTCGCCATGGTGATCGGTATAAACTCTTACACGCCATTTTATCCGGCTTCGCAGTACAACACAGATGATATTTTATAACAATAATACTAATGCGTTTTATAGTACTAACATTATATACACATACTAATAAATTGAATATCCAATAAAGAATTAAATAATAATGATTTATATGCTTCGACCTTATTGTTAATTCCTTTATTGGTAAATTCATTTATAAAAAAACATACAGAGATTAATTTATGGCAGGCAAAATTATCAAAGTCCAAATACAATCTTATGTACAGAATGTACAAAAGTTACAGATGTAGTCATAGTATAACAAATGAAGAAGAAAAATATAAGGAAAAATAAAAAATCTTGCCTGCCGTAAACTGATTACTTTACAATTTTGCGTACAGATGAATTTATCGAAGAAAATAAATGACTTTGCTTAGTCTATTGTCATTGTTATATGATTTTATAGCTCCAACAAACATTATCTTTAATCTTGTTAATTGAATGAGAAAAATTCAAATGAATCTAATGAAATAAAACTAAATATGCTTTCCTACTGCGAAGTTATATACAGCTGTTATTAACATAACCAACATAACCTCTTTCCACGCGGTGTTCGTTCCGACATTTGTGTACATACATTTTTTAAGAAAAAATTGTCGATGCGTGAACGTATTACTTCGTGTACGACACAACGAGTAAAAAGCTTTAGTCTTTTATGTTTTGTTTTCGTAGGTTAATTAAGTAGAGTTCTTGTACAATTTATAAAGATGATGAAAATATTGTCGCTACACGACTTCAATTCACCTTCTTTCGATGAACCAACGTCTGTTGGATTAATAGAAGATACAGTGCATTATTGCGATTACGAAGATCTACAGCATGATTTACAACCATTCGCCAAATACGTGCGTGAGTATCCTGAGGTATCAATTGCTCCAGATACTCTCGCTACACGTGAAACCGCTCGCACCATGTGCTCTGGCGATTTGTTTCTACCAGTTCATGACAGTATCTTTAAAAAAATTGCCAGCGTGTGGAGAGAAAAAGGATTGGCCGAAGCAATTTGCCTCGCTGCATCCACAGACTCAGAGGAGGTTACGACAGTTGTACATTGGATAGCTACAAGGTTCCGACAATGATCTTAAAAATGACTCCTAACTGCTTAGAGAAGGTAATTTTACCTTTTCGATTTCAGGCTTAAATGGGTACTAGACTTAATGGACAAAGGAATATATCAAAGAGAGATTCTACCTACTAGCGGATCGGGGTCTGTTGCAGATGTTGTTCAAACGAGAGATTGGGACTCGTCGCTTGTAAGAAATTTATACATAAAGCTATTGTGTGACATATAATTCATGCCTGCGTTACTTTGTAGATTAGATGTCTTTCTTGGCATCCTCATTGCACACGATTAGCAGTGGTCACAAGGGATGATCGTATACGCATCTTTTCTCAAGGATTGCCAGCAGTGCCAATATTAAGACATAGCGCTCAGAAATCAGTCTGCTGCATCAGTTGGAGACCATTTGCTGGCAAGGAATTGGCGGTAGCATGTCACGGTGGTGTCTTGATTTGGACAATAGAATTAGGTGCAGCCAGTAATTCTCTTAGTCATGCTGTGTTACTGAAGCAGAGGAATCATGCACCTGTTACAAGTGTTACATGGCATCCACAAGGTGATTTGCTGGTATCTTGTTCACCAGCGGATACGAATATGATTATTTGGGATACTTCTAAGAGGGAAGGTGTTCCTTTGCGGCGAGTGGGAGGTGGTGGCTTGTGCTTCACGCGTTGGTCCTCCTGTGGTACTCAATTGTTCGCGGCTACGTGTAGAAATATATTCAGGTATGCTGACCTTTGTATGCGTTTTTTAATTCTATACGACATTCCATTACCTCGTGTATTAATTGCTGTTCGTAGAGTTTGGAATACCGGAGTGGCAACATTATGGCATGCGGATAAATGGACGGTGCCTAATGGTCGTGTGGCAGCTGCATGTTTTGGCCCAAATTTGACTCTATTATTTGCGTCTAACGAAGAGTCAGCAACAGTTTTTTCCCTTCCATTGCAAGAAAATATCTTTGATGTCAAGAAAGCGTCTATCAACGATGCCAAAATGGCTGGGCCTCTAATAGACTTGACAAGAGTCAGTTTTTCGACGGACGATGATTACATTTCCGTTGGTGGAAGAGTAGTTGCAATGGAGTGGGATCCTACGGGAAGATATCTCGCCATAATCTTCCAGGTACGATTTTTTTACAAATCCGATAAGATCGAAAATCTTGAACAAGAGATTCTAATAAACTTTATCCTTATTTAGGACAGTCCCTGTATCGCGTTAGTTAAAACGAAAGTAGGAAACATGTCGCAGGTAGTCGACATTAAACCTGCCTGCCTGATCGAAGGATTTCTCGGAGAAGTTCCAAATTGCATGAATTTCTACCAAAAGTGTGACAGCTCGTCTCCTGTAATTTGTTTAACGATCGCTTGGAGCAGTGGTCGGGTACAACATTTTCCTATAGTGGAGAAAGAGACTGCACCCCTCGCGAACACAACTTACTCATTGCCGACGCACTCGTTTTCAATGAGAAACGATACATTCAATGTCGATTTCAATGCTACTTACAGTTAAGGTTAATATTAAGTTGAAAACCTACAAAAGTTCGATCTACCCATTTTTTATACATTTTCTAATATTTGTATATATATATATATATCATTGAAGTGAGAGTGAAGATATTTTTATTAAATGAGAGAATAATAAATTGTACGAGGATGTTTTCGGAGTTCTACGCTACGATTGATTATGAAATTATGTGTAAAATTTCATAACCAATTCGTTGGCGTGTTTATAGAAAGAAAGAAAAAATCGTTGGTCCCGTGTTAGGTTCTCTAATGTTCTAGCTTTCTAACGTATGGGATATACAACGCGACGGCTCGGGTTCGGTACCTAATTATACGAAGTCACATGCAGAGCGCACGTCTTTCTATTTTTACGTCACTTGACCGAATGCTGAACGCCGACACGTACGCCAATACGTTCTGTCTGCTATACCCACACCGATGCAACTTCAAACACAAATTAATCGCTCCATCGTTCTAGAAATCCCCCGTCCTAAATATATATTTCTCAAACGTACTTCATCATTTTCGCTTGACACGTTACTTGTCAATTTTCAGAGAAACGAATCACTCTGCATAAATGGAACGTAGCGTTTTTAATTGGCGATGCTAACTCTGTTAAACAAAAGATTGTGAAAATTCGAGCAACGTGTTTATGTAACTTTTTTTTTAAAAATTGGTGTTAGAAATGGAGACACTTGTTAAACGAAATAAAAGGTACATTTGAAATGATGTAAGAGCATCCACCGATTAAACGTTCGTTAACGTACCTATCTTTTCCCCTTCGTCCTGTCTTTCTGTTATTGCATCCGTATGGGGTGCACGATCGAAATCCTTTTTCCAGTATATTTATTTTAATGGCAGTCGTACACATGCGGTGACTATGGTACGGACAGAGTTGACAGGTGCCTGGGCAAAAAAGCGTGGCCGAGAACGGGTATAGTATGTATAATGTAAGCATAGAGGGCTGGCAGGCCACATGTGCCACTCTATCACTTATCTACCCGTAATATGACGTATAACCCGACCATAAGATGCAACCGTGGAAGCATGTGTGTACGTTCGAGCAGGAGTCAAGATGCACGCGCGTGTGTATATACGCAAGGGGTGAGTAGGAGGACGCATGGAAAATGCTTCTGTATGCGTGGCTTAGAAGAAACCGAGAGCAACAGCTTGAAAGATAATGTCGCGAGAATCGCTTTCGGATCATAACAATGCATTTTCAATTAGGCAGTTGAACTATACACATATATATGTATGAAGCATTCTGTTGCATCCTTTTTTTGAAAGAATAACATAAATGTGCAACGGTTACGCCTGGAAGACATTAATTTTTTAACTTATACCCTTTTAATGTACCACTTGAGGCTCGATGTGGCTCGATTAGGCTTCGACTGTCCCTTGAATTTCAAATCATACTTGGCTACCGATCCTTGGATGCAAGTAGAAGTCGAGGATCCCGATGGAAGCGATATCAGACGTAGTTTACGTTTGCGTGAAAGTCTGAAAGGCAGCGAAAGGAGGAGTTACGGGGAGGTCGGTGAAATAATAGTAGGCTGTAATAGGAGGAAGGAGTGAACGACTTGCCCTCATGTGTGCGCGCGAAGAAGCTGTTGTTAATAAGTGACGCGTGTGCGGCAGCTGGTTTTACATTTTTTGCCCTGCACCCGATTCTCGGGGTTCGACCGACGAAAGATCAGCCCAAGCACCCCCTCGCCCCTGTCCGTCTCACTGCTTCTCACTCCGTTTGCTACACCTCGACTCGAAATATTCCTACAAAGTCTCAAAGGAATGCCGGTGTCTGGCAGCCTATTGGCAAATTGACAATTCTGACAAATTCTAACCTAAGTAGAGGACGGAAGAGAGAAGAAAGTCTAGTTTACTAAAAAAAACAGAACATAGTCACGACGAAGGTCTGGTGGCTTCCATAAAATGTTGACAACCCCGAAAAGGTACGGCAATTAACTGCGGGGCACCGCAACAATTTGAAACATCATCGTTCCAGGAATCTAAGCTGAGCTAGGGTAACAAAAAAAAAAAAGAGACGAGTTATAAACGAATTGAAGAGAAGCACGAAAAAGGGAGACGATAGACGTGCGCGCAGATGTGTCCCGCGCCCTAAGTCCGAGGACCGAAAGAGAAGGTCGCAGTGCAGAGGCGAGTGCACCGATGCACAAGTGCCGTGAACGCATCTCTCTCTCGAGGGGGAACGAAACGGCCACGCGAGTGGGCGGCGCGTACCCTTCTCATCGTGCTTCCTCCCTTGCTCCTCTGAGAGAGCAAGGGTGGAGGGGGGATCCTCTCGGCCGTTGTCGCGTTGTCTGCTGGAAAAACGCGGCGATGTCTTGTCCTGGCTGATAGTCTTCGTGGAGACGCGGGAACGGGTGTAGTCGGACCGAGGCTATCCTCTTATCTCGGGGTCAGTTACATCGTGCCGTGTAGACGCGTTCAGGCAGCCACCCTGCTGTATCTCAACCTCGTCGCGATTAGGATCGCTACCGCGCGTGCTGCGCGGCTTTGGACCTCGTCGGAAGCAGAGATAACCGATAAAAGTGAAACGTTGACGCTGATCTTGTAAGTGAGAACTGTGATGTTGTTCTGGATATGTTCTGGTGATGTCCTGATGTGCTCTGACAAGGATGGTTGCTGGTGCGATAGTTCCACGGTGTTTTGTGCTCGAGAATAGATTTGTTTTCGCCAAGACACCGTGGATCATTCTCCAGTACTTCCAGCTCTAATTTCACGAATACAGCATCTCTAACATCTAACAAATTTTCCAGACTGCGATCGGTCGTCAAGATGCACTTGGAGGACTTCCACGCGGACAGGAACGAGGGGGACGTACAGCGGGCCGTCTCTAGAAGCATCAAACAGGAGAGTTTCAATTCCTTGCACCTGGTGCCGATCACAGCAATGAATACAAACACTCAGCAGGCTTGTTGGGCGACTTCCAACGCGGACACTGGAGTCTCCTCGCCCATATTACCAAATAACACCAGTCCGCGAGAGTACACCGACTGGGAGCAACTGACAGCCGCGTTCCAGTACCCCTGTCAGCAGTATGCTTCCACGGACAGGTCACCGGGGAGTACGGGGAGCGAGGCTACCACGCCAACGTGGACCACCGTCGTCCACGGCGAGACTTTGGACTCGAACGGAAGGTTGCCTCCCGTAGGATCAGCGTTCTCCTTCTCGCGCAGCTTCTGCAACACGGTTTACCCAGAGTATCAAGACTACCAAGGCTACCAGGAGTACCAAGACGACACGACAGTGTCCTTACCTCTCATCCTGCACTCCCAAGTGGAGGATCAAAAAGGTTTCACAGGGCCCATGCAGACCGCCACGGATGAGTTCGACCTCAGCCTGATCAGAGGCGACCCCACGTCACTGTTGAACGTGGACTCGCCACCTTCTCCTTCGTCGACGTACCTGGAAGAACTCCAGGATCCTTTCTCCAATCTCAATGGGTCATGCTACGCGGTGGGACACCTGGTTTCCGGGCAACAGGCCTCCGTTTCAGCGATGACGTTCGTCAGCGACACAGGGATGGCCGAGTGCTTCGGGAACCAAGTCGTTCTTCCTAGAAACGAAGGACTGCTGCTCGCCGATCGACGCGTGCCTGTCTCCAATGCTGTGTCCGAGACGGAGAATCGAAATAAGTCTTACGGTGAGTTTGGAAGTTCCTTGTGGTGGTGAGGTATCTGGAAAGGGTGTGATTAATCGTTAGGTACGATGATGGACACACATGAACGATAGTCAAGTGCTTAAGTTAAGACACTACTTAAAGTTACTTACTATTTCCGGCAGCGTGATTCGAGGAATACACAGCCTATCCAAAACCTAGGGTCTCGGGTAACCTACAGAAAGAAATGATGTTAGTTTAAAAACTGGAGAAATAAACGCAGACGAATTAGAATATACGTACCTCTCAAGTATTAAAACAAGCACGAGTGCCACACGCTCGAGTGCCTCGCGGACACGTCTTAACAAGAGTCGTGCTGCGTGTTGTTTATAAACAATTTCGAACGTCCAATGACGCACGCTTGTTTCCCCAGAGTGTTCGACGGCCGACGACAACCTGACGTCGACGTACCAATGCCGATGGATAGATTGCGGCTGCGCTTTCGCTGAACAGGAGGGCCTGGTGCGGCACATCGAGAGACGACACGTGGAGTCTTCGTCGTCGAGCTCCCACGGGCACGGGAGACGAGTCCAGAGGGATAGGGACAGGGACAAGGACAAAGACGGCGATGGCTTCACTGGTAACGGAAACGCACAGGACGAGTTCGCCTGCCTCTGGCAAGGATGCCCAAGGGCCCGCCCTTTCAACGCCAGGTACAAGTTGCTGATACACATGAGGGTGCACAGCGGAGAGAAGCCCAATAAATGTCCGGTGCGTACCTGAATTTTAATTGTTATTGAATTAATAAAATTGGGTGTATTGGAAGGTAAGCAGTAGAAGCAAAATATAACCTCTGTAAATTGTCCACAGTTCGTTGGATGCAAAAAGGCGTTCTCGCGATTGGAGAACCTGAAGATTCATCAGAGATCTCACACGGGAGAACGACCCTACGCTTGCCAACATCGCGGTTGCTCTAAAGCGTTCAGCAATAGCAGCGATCGCGCAAAACATCAGAGGACTCACTACGATACGGTACGTTTAGGAAGAGTATATGCATAATCTGAGAAGTATAAGATAAAAGAATCGAGCATTTGCATGAAATATTCGTTTGAATTTCCAGAAACCGTACGCTTGTCAGGTGACCGGTTGCGGTAAAAGATACACGGACCCCTCGAGCCTGAGGAAGCACGTGAAGAATCACTCGGAGACCGCGTCGTCGTTGGCCAGCCTGGCGCCGGAATCGAAGATCGCTGCCAACTTGACCAACACGTCGCGGCACGATCCGATTTCTACGACTTCCAGACAACAGACGCAAACCGTGGCCACCTTCGCGGAATCAAATTATCGGTCGTATAAGTCTTCCGAGTCTTATGCGGACGAGGACGCGGATCTGTTCCAGACGAATCTGTGTCAGGTCGATAGGATTTCCATGAGCCTTGAGAGCAATCAAGAGTACGTCCCGATCGAGTCCGTGAAGCGTTTTCTCATCGATGACGTCAGCAATTCGCACGTGGATGGCACAGGTAAGGGGAACGTCGAGCACCTAGCAAATAGATACTATTGTTAATAAAATAGAAGTGAAAGCACGAAAGAGATAAAAAATACATTCTACATAAGTTTTCCATATCAACGCACCCTGTAATCCCCTTACTGGCGGAGTCACCACCGCAGAGGTGGAGTCAGTGTTCCTAAACGATGGCAAGAGAGTTTACAAAAACTCAGCCAAAGTTGTTCTCTGTACGAATACGTTATTGTATCGTGGTCGCGCGTGCTGCCTTTTTCTGTCTCTTGGTGAATGGCCGCGTGGTAACGACGCCGATGACAGTACGCTAGCTCTCGGTTCCTCCATGCTTAATCTCAGAGGAGGTTCGCCGCTTTATGCCTTTACCCCCCACACGGAGTCTTAAAATAATATTCCACACTTTTTTGGCTGCAGCACACGCACGTACGCACGCGCCAAAACATACGACGCGCCTGCCACGTGCGACACACGCGTGCGCCCCTTTAAATTCCAGCCCTCGCGAACGCGATTTTCATCGGAATAAAAATACAGTTGATCGGACGAGTTCGACAATTTCGTTGCCCTTAAAAGTAGCAGAGGAAAACTTGATTTTATACATTCTCGATATCAATCAAGTCGATATCAATTATTTTCTATGTAGAAAATTGTATTCACTCGTTGCTGAAAGGAGGATACTTTCGTTGCAGGATATTGCGAGGAAGACGTGCCTGATTTCCAGGAGCTGGGATCGGATATCGAGCAGCAGTTCCTCGAGCTGAGCAGCTTGGATGACGCTGTGTTCATTGACGGATAGTTCGCACGCCTAAAAAGACTCACTTTTGTACTCGATTTTGTATAACGCTGTTACACTCGATGAAATCATATATTTTTGTACATAGCTTTGTATATACCATAAACAAGAAAATACAGCGATCTTGATTATCTTCAGTTTTCCTGGTCAAATTTATTCCCAAATTTCAATGTAGCCACACTTCTAATACAGAGAGAAGTGAGTCTACTAATTATACAGGTGTTGCATAAAAATATGAGATAACCTATAAGTCGATCGTACTTGGTCCACGGAATCGGCCATGACACTATGCAGAGTATCGATAGCCGGATCGCAGCGACATTTTGATCGGATTATAACCCTGGAAGACTGCGTTAGACTTCGTACAAAACACAGTGATCCGCTATAGAGAGTATTCAGCGGTGAAATGGGTCGAGCAACAATTTAGTCTCAAGCGCCGTTGCACTGCGACGGCTTCGTCTCTCCCAGATTGTCGCAAATCAGCTTGAAGAAGTTGTTAAGCGCTTTCCTTTGATTCTCCTGACTGTACACCTGCGGATCCAAGAAAATAGACGGTTAAGACTATCCTCCTGAAGGTAACGCGCATGGAATATAAAGTAACGTTGCAGTACTCACTCCGTTGAGAGTTATCGTCGGGACAAAGGAGAGAGGGGGCGTCAGGGCCGCCGTTTTCTTGCCATTGGCAGCGAGCAGCTCCTGGGCCAGCGGGCCCGACATGCAATCCCTAATACTATCCTGCGATTGCTGATTAAGTTTCACTGTTTCAGCGCACTGAAAATGAAATTAGCATCAGTGTACAGTTTTCTATCGGGTCAGAAATGGCTAATCAACAACCGTTTGTAATATCCTCCAGGTACGGCTATCGATTGCGTAAGAAGTCCATGCAGTGGGACAATAGTAACGACGCATTTAGTAATTACGGGACTCACGGATGTTCCAACAGTCTGTGAGAGAAGGAAGAGATAAATAGCTACCTGCGGAACGGCCGTGGCCGGAAAGCTCGAGGCCATTGCGCAAACAACGAGCGCCTCGGTGAGCTGTTGAACTCTGTCTGCCGTTTCCTCGTTCTGAATGGCGTGGATTGCGCAGGCCTGGGCCATGTTTCCTTCGCATTCGTTGGGCCCGTGTTGACACACGAACTGCCACTGACCGTTTTCCTGATTCACCTTTTGCTACGAATCATTGGTTAGTATTAGACTAATACTATTAGTATACAGGGTGAGCAGATGTTTAGATTATACTTACCGACGCTTTCCCGTACGGAATGTAATTAACGTGAATGTAATCTTTCAACGCATCGTACGACGGAGCCAGTTTATCTTTGATCCATCGCATGCTGTCGGGACATAATGATTCATAGTACACGTCCACCTCTATCGCCTTGTTCGATGGATCACCGCCAGCCACCTGCGCAATTAACGGGGGAGTATGTGATAACCGTGTGCCCGTTTTAGAATATCCATCTCTAATAACATTGATAACTACGAATTGATACAATCTATTATTGTAAAATTTTTAGTGACCGATTACGATTTTTGGAAATAAGTTACGCTACACGTGAACAATTAATGGTAGAGATACACAAAGTGGACGATAATGTCGAGTCGATACTCGAAGGGATAAGATTATGAGACGAAAGAAAACAATTAAGAGTTAATGAAAAACAGATTCGTCGCTATCTAATCTGTAATCTGACCATCTGACCATTAGAGTAGACCATTTCCCTCATGAATCACCTCAAGGTCGATTTTCGATAGACATATGAAAATATATAATTAAATAAATAAATAAATAAATAAATAAATATATATATATATAATGTAATATATATATATTTTCATATGTCTATGTTTTCACCCTTCAAACTATGCCAGCTGTTTCTGTTTTCTCTTAACAGTATAGATACGTAATTGCGAGTCATCCTGTATAGCACTGTTTAACGTACACAACTACTCATGAATAAAATAACCATATCTGTCTAATGTTTCCAGAAAGATTAGCATATTCTTGCAAATTCCGGTATCCCTACAAAAAGGCCTGAAGTAAAATCTGAATAAAATAATAATAGACTAGTTGTTACTTAAAATAAAATTTGTTGTATAATAACAAATCTAAAAACAATAGATCTGTTACGATTTATGGAACAAAGAAACCGCGAAGCGTGTATTTCAGACATAAACAGGTTTAAATTGTACAGTATGCCGAAGGAAAAAGTGCTTGAGAAACCGGATTCCCTTTCATTTGAATGTTTACAGACGTGGGGGCCACAACAGGAACGCGCCAGGAGCCTAAATCGTACGCAAAAAACCCGAGTTCGCTAACTTTTATAACGCAAATTTGTACAGCAAATAACGGAAAAATAACGAATAATAATTGGTATATCTCGTTATCCGTGATTTTTATCTGCGCGATGATAAGAAAATTTGTCCATCTTTAAACCTACAAGAAAAAGAGTCGAAGGGATTTCTGCGCCGAATACGAGATAAAAAGAAAATAGTAAAAATTTTCTGCAAGGTTATAATTAATGGAAGGAAATAAAACAATTGGTCTGACTCACCAAAACAGCGTGGCTGAAGAAGGCAACAAAGGCTACAGCTGCGAGAGCGCAGCTCGACGTGAATAGGTAGCAACGCATGGTCATTCTGGCCCGCTGATAAAGCGGGCATCGCTTTAAACCAACTCGCCTATAGCATCATCGACCGATGCCAAGGAGGGGGACATTGAAAATATAGAAGGGGGCACGGAGAGAGAAGAAGTGCAGGAGAGAGTAAAATGAGATAATCAATAATACGTTCGATGGCATGTGAAATGTCGAAAGGAGGAATGTGCCTTGCGTCATTATTTTTACCAATTCTTACTTCTCAAGATTAAATTACTACTTAAAACAGGTCCGAAGACCCGAAGACCTAACATCATACTTATTCAAAGCTATCCCAATTATTTAAATTTTTAATTTCCTGGCATATCCGCTATCTTGTTTACACAACCCAGTTGATATATTCCGATCGAGCTTATTGAATTCTACATTATATCTAGATACAAGACTCCACTTGTTTCGTAGATTAGATAAAAAGACTGAAGTGAAAACCTAATACACAGGTATGAGTGCACATAGACAAATTGCCGAGAGTGGAACGTAATTAACGCATTTCTCTATTTGCGATGTACACAGGTCTTTTTACGTCGTTAGAGGGACACTTTTAAGTGACTTAACAATGTATGCGTGGAACGTTTCCATGACTTTCTCGCCGGGAGTGAATGTGTTGTGTCAGAAATTGTCTGGTGCCAGGCAATCGGCTGCTTGGAATCTAATTGCAAGCATCGTGAAAGTAATCACTTGCTTACATTATCTTCTTGGTTGATGCTGTACGTACAATAATTTTACTGTATAGTACTGTATGTACAATATTTACCGACTATAGTATCATTTGGAGTGAGTAATTTCACTTTCTCCGACAGAGAATACATGTACAAATAAGTATGCTGCGTATTGTGTAATTAGCGTTAATTACACAATACGCAGCTTCCGATACAGTATACATAATAGTATATAACGCATGTATATATGATTAATAAACAAAGGAAAAAATAAAAAGTTTAATAAATAATGTAATTGCATTTGGAGTTACTCGTTCCATGTTAAAACTGTCTTATTCGTGTAACAACTATTTACTATACATATCAATCACAAGCGATAAAACACAACTATGGATCGATCCCTTCATGAAATTTCAGTTGCTTCTTTTGCTTTTTGAGCTCTGCAAACAATGTTTCAGCTCGTTCCTTGAAGGCATTGGCTATGCTTTCATTTTTCTGTACGCCATCACCTTGTCTATGCATTATGGACACATTAGCACAAGCAAAGGGATTCCCAAATTCGCAACACTTTAGAGACAGCTTATACGCCTCCCTGAAATCCTTTTCAACGTATCCTTGTATCCCACTTAAGAGAATGCCTGACAATTGGAAGCAAGCTTTCTCTTCGTCCGCGTCGCAAGCTTTTTTAAGCATTTTCATTCCATGCGCGATTTGGGTAGCTTTGTCTTTTTCCAAGACCTCATTGCTTACTGCAAAAACACCAGCGTGGTAGCAACCCTTCTCATCGTTCAAGTCGCAACCTTTCGTCATGTATTTGTACGCCTCCATAATGTTTTTCTCGCATCCTCTACCTGTTACATACGCAATACATCTTAAACGCAAAACAATTTTTCAAGAATAATTTCGCAACGTATTTTAATTTTCGCGGGGCGATTTATCTTCCATCTAACGACGAATCAACGAAACACGATTATTTACCGATCAAGTTGTAATCCCCGTATTTCGTACAACTGCTGCCATAATTTCTTTCGTCGCAATTCCTCTTATATATATCGGCGGCCGTTTTATAGTTACTCTTGATACTTTCCTCGTAATCGCCGAGCAGGTGACAAACTGTCAACAAACATAAGATGTTCAGATGAAGAGGTTAGGTTCGTTAACCATGCTTTACCTTCGGGTTTTTTCTCGCTATAGCAACCGAATTTATATTCAATGTGAAGGTTTTTCAGATACTCTTTTACTTCCTCTTCACTTTTCAAGTTATAGAATGCCATGTCAACTAAATATTTTTATTATACGATTACAAACTATAAACGAGAGATATGCACGGCATACGCTGTTGTACACCACTAGTTGTTGCGTAGTGAACTGGTAGATGGCAGTATTATGTTATCGACTCAACGAACAGATTCCAAAGGACCAAAATCTATTAGTAGATTTTTATGAATATAATTGTAATGTTAATGATTCCTAATCCTAATGATTCGTATTTATCATTGTGGTTGAAATTCGAGTCACAATCAACAATGTGTAAAATGCTTTACCCTAATCTGGCATAAGCACATGGCTTCAATTCGAAGCCACCAATCGAACGACGGAGCCAGTGCGCGCGCATTCTTATGATTTTTCGAACGAGCGCAAGTCGACCACGAAGGTGTTGGAGTAATTCACAACATTGGAACTTGCGTGCCAGTTCAGGTGTGCTCGTCATTCGGTGCACCACACGTATCGAATTATTCTCCCGAGAATACCTACATGAAAGCCTACGCACTCGTGATTTTAGCAACAATTCATATGCCGAGAAAGAAATTACGTGCCTTGTCGAAGTAAGTAGAGAAAAACAGCGTCGATTGCGTTCGTATTTGATTTACCATTTTTTCAATGCAATCTTTTTGTTTCAATCACCGTGGTTCGATGACACGCTTTGTTTGCGACCTTTCAAGGTTGCCACAGTTACTGTCCTATATTTTATCAAACGCAATTAAATTTTTAATTTCGCCACGTACCAGAAAGTAACTTTGTACAGTTTTGTCGGTGAAATAAGTCTTCTAACTGCCAGGCATTAAACTTGAAATAGTAATTAACGTTTACTGTAATTACTGATTTGAATTTACTGATTTTTGTAATTGTTAAGTACGCGTTTAACCAACGACTATAGGCGACAACTATAGCCAACGTAAGCGTCCCTTCCACTAGGTCAAACTTGAGTCTTGACTCGGTTAGGGGGTCGCCTTCTTATCTACCCTCCGTGATCAGAATTCGTGCACATGTAAAGTATCAACGTAACGCAAAGTATGCAAACACTTACGCCTGGAAACTCCATTGTTCATGTACCGAGACGTATCGAGTGCAAATTGTCGCTTTAAACTATCGCATAATGTAACCGTGACTCTATCAACTTTTTAAAACTTTCCCGAATCGAATTACAGTAGTTTCCTTAAAATATTCACGAGGCTACCTCGACTGTATTACATTTTACCCGAGGCACGCGAATGATGTGTAAATGACATTATCAGCAAATTGACGTTTCAAAGAAGACCATTACGCCGAACGGTGAATTAAATTGACACTATAAATAGAATATATGACTCTTGAATTCAGTTCGCGCGTCGAGTGCAAGGGGTTACGATATATCACGATCAATCTGCAGATATTATCGCACGTTGAAAATACTAGAGCGACTGCTTTTGTCACGTGGCTTAATTCTTGCTACAATGTGTTTCGTCAAGTGCCGCTGATCCCGAGACAAATTAATCTTTTCAGGCACGTTGTAGTACGTAGATTCAACGGACGTACCGTACACGTGGACGTTGCACACGTGTAAAAAGACCAAATGTATACAAACAACGAAATAACTCGTAACATATTGCGACGTACTCTCGACTCTTGCGATTTTCTTTTATTACTTTCGTGTTTGCGTTCGTCTCGGGTGACTGGTAGCGTTCGCATTTTATGAAGCACCCTGTACAGTCCCGTCTGGTCGAGTCACACTTGGCAAACCCGATCCCGGTACAGAAGTGTGTATACGTGATCGCGTACGTCACAATTCGGGGTGATTCAACGCGTAACTGGGTTCAAGGGCAACCCACACGTTTCGCCGATACACCGACGGAATCCTCGACGAGAAAAACGAGCGTACTTCCCGAAAAGCACTCGCCGACGAAAATCATGTAAATTAATCGTCGGAGGCGATGAAAAAAAAAATCGATTTACTGAATTCGTGATGAGGACTGTCGAAACGTCTGGCGGCGGTCATCGATTTATCGACACGATCCTTGTAGAGATAGCCCTGGCTTCGACGTAATTCCTTCTCCAGCCTTGTTCTTTTTTTAGTTTTGCTTCGGGATATTTCGTAATCGTCTGAAACATCGAATCAACGTCGGTTATGTTGTACATTTTATTTATGTAATTTGGAAACGCGATGCTCGGATAGAATATATTGCGAAAATTTGCCGAATTTAGCTTTTAGGTTGTCCGGTAAGTTCTTGGACACTTGGTACCAATAAATCGTTTTGTAATAACGTTATAATCAAACAATAATTATTCTTCAAAATAAATGCCATCGCTTCGATTTGGATCGAATGTCATAAAGAATTTTAATGCGAAAAATTCAAGCATCAAGTGTCTGGGAACTTATGGGACAACCATAGTACTTAACATTTTACTGACCGGTAGCTCATTAATCGTCTCTTTTCCATGACAAGCAATGCTTTCTTATTTATTACTGATGCTCTCGTTATTATCGTGAATTATGAAATATTATATAAATATAATTTATAAAATGATTCTAACGGATAAAGTAAGCAATATTATTAAATTTAAATACATATATGTCCAAACGCTACCGGTTGGTAAAGTGTTAAGGTACACCCCCGTTCGTAAATACGTGGACACTTACCACCTTCGATAATTAATTAATATATACCGTAAATTATTACCATACAACTTTTGTTGCCAAATTCTATATTGGATGCGTATTTAACAACATTTAATAATATTAAATTTTTTGGGCGCCATATTCAATTTCATAGTGTAAAGAAAAATAAGAAGAAAAGTAAGAAAAATTCAGAAAGAATGTTCATATATCAAAAACTTTTATGACGAAATATTTCAAAATAAACGAGATAATATTACTTCGGATAAAAATGAAGAAATTAATAGCATTGAAGTATGGTAAGAGAAATTTTAACATTATCTAGTTATCATTACTAATATGATTTAAAGAAGAAACTATTAATAAAATATACTCGCTAATGCAACAAACATTTGAAATATAAATTATATAATTGATATTAGATTCACAACTGTCGTTAGATATTTATTTCTATTAAGTGCCCACATACTTCTGAGCGAGGGTGTATCTGACAAATGTATTAATAGAAATGTCCTAATAATTATTAGAGAAGCGAACACAGAGCGGAACAATTGTCTTTTATCTTCAGATGAGCGAGTCAGTGAGAGTGGCCGTGAGATGCCGGCCGATGAACACTCGGGAGTTGCAGCAGGGATGCAGGGTACGTGAAGAGGATAAAGGAATGCGCACCTTCTGCTCGACCTGCACCCGTGCACCCGTATCAGCGTGCTACGCACTTTCGTTCCTTTCTCGTTTTGTTTATCTAACCGCGTGTGTGGAAAACTACTCATATCGAACGCGGCTGTAGCCTAGCGACCGCATCAAAACACGCGACCAACGGCATGCAACGTTTCTGCAATTTTCCTGCTGCATGATTTTCCAAAGGCTTGAATCACTGCTTTTTAAGCGAGTCATCGAGGTTAGCTCGGACGTAGTCTGTATGTAGGATCCGTAGCGATTGATTTCGATCGATGTCTACGTCTACATTGCGAAAACTTCCATGAACCTTTTAGAAGGGTAGCTAGAAACGCCATTAAATCCGGTAATAAAAAAATGTTCCGATGCGTGACACTTGTGGGCCCCTCGCGAGTACCCGGAAGTGTCGCAACGGTCAACGAATATGTACCGAGAACAAAATTGCTTCGATTACGTAGTTAGTCATACGACCGAGTCGCACACACCTAAAGAGGCATGCACTGTGTCACCCACGTGCATCGTCGTGAACGTAGAAAAAGGTGACACAACTGTGCCTTCTATTGATTTGACATATATATTTAGTTTTCCATCGATAAGCACGTGGACGTACATACGTAAAGAAACGTACGGTGGCTCGATAGGGTTATCTATGCACCAGCGAGCGCACCCCAATCGCCGATTCCCTAGCTAGCGTGCGAACGTTCCTCGTAGCTCGCTGAATATATTATGGGATGGTAAATTTAACAACGGCTCAGGGCGCGATACACTGTGATAGACGGTCGACGGAAATGTTAACGGACGTTCGGTAAAAGCGTGCATTCATCGGAGTTACAAGTTGCCTAACGAGGCCGGCGAGGGCACTGCACGTTAAAGAATTCTTGCGTATCGCTATCTAGATGTTACTAAGTACCCTTTAAACACTGTTTACATCCAGAAGCTTCCAAAAGCCTAATTCGCGATTTCCGAGTTGGATACATAAAGATAGCGTGCCGAGGTTCCCATTGAATTTATCTTTCCAGCGAAGCGAAATCGATATCGACGCGAACTATCGCTGAACCAATGCTGTCGCGAGCAACGGTCACGTTCCGCTAATCCGTGCAATATCGGTACAATGTTGCACAATTTTCTCGACTTGGGTAATAATCGATCGACACGTTTTCGCAAATAAGTTATGGTCTGCCTCCAGTACATTTTTATCATACACCTATGAATTATTGTACGCGATAACTTGATTTAACACGATTTTTATGTTTCCACGAGTTTTATGCGCATTGGCAGCGATAATAAAACTTTACACGGTACATTTAAACGACGTTTATAAATATCGCGTTTCACTACCGGAATTCGAATTATAGTTGCGAATAATCATTATCTATACCGCAGTAAACATAAATTACTCTGCCGGAAGGCGAACATAAACAACTCGTTCGATAATAAAAAGACCAAGTTCAATGTCGTTCGAAGGATACGTTGATATACACGAGTCAATATACTCGATTCGAAACTCTGCACGGGCATGTGAGCACCCTGGGAGTTTAAGCATCTCCGAAAAGCATGTTTACTTTCTTCGCAGAACGTGGTGACGATCGACACCCAGACAAAATGCTGCACCCTGGAGTGTCCAGCGAGCGGGGCAGGGAACGGCAAGGTGTACCAGTTCGACGCAGCCTTCGGTCCGGAAGCCAGCACCGAGTCTGTGTACGAGAATGTGGGATCTGTTATCGTGGAGGCGCTTCTAGATGGCTACAATGGTACAGTGTTCGCTTACGGACAAACAGGTTGCGGGAAGTCGCACACGATGCGAGGATTCATCGAGCGCACCTTGGACCACATCTTCGAGGCCACCTCGACCGCCAGCTCGGAGATGAGGTACCTGGCGTTGCTCAGCTATCTGGAGATCTACAACGAACGACTGCAAGACTTGTTGCAAGACGGGACGAGCGATCTTTTGACTTTGAAAGAGGACACGAATCGCGGTACTTACGTGGCCGGTGGCTTGAGGGAGGTCACCGTCAAGGATGCAGCCGAGTGCACCCGTTTGGTCGAACAGGGTGACAGGAGGAGAGCTGCAGCGGCTACCAAGATGAACGCTGCTAGTTCCAGGAGTCACGCCGTGCTGACGTTGTCCCTGGAGACGCTGGCCATCAACGACGACAGCAAAACCGAGAACACGGTGAAGAGAGGCAGGCTTCACCTGGTGGACCTGGCTGGGTCGGAGAGGCAAGCGAGGACAGGAGCCACCGGGGATCGTCTGAAAGAAGCAGCTAGTATTAATTTGAGCCTCTCCGCGCTGGGAAACGTCATCAGTGCTTTGGCGGCTGGTCATGGACGACACGTCCCGTACAGGTATGAAGATGAGTCGCAACCTATCCTATCTGAATACTACTAAGAATCTCTTGAATATATTCTTTCAGAGACAGCAAGCTGACGAGACTCTTGAGGGACAGCCTCGGTGGCAACGCGAGGACGCTGATGATCGCTTGCGTGAGCCCCAGCGACGTCGACGCCGAGGAGACTCTCAGTACCCTGAGGTACGCGGCCAGAGCTAGATGCATAAAGAACAAGCCGGTGGTCAACGAGGATCCAAAGGACGCTCTGTTGAGGCAGTATCAATTGGAGCTGCAACGTCTTCGCAAGATGCTGGAATCCGGCGATCAGTCCATCGTGAAACAGATGCTGGGCAAGGAGGAGGACGAGGAGGAGCGCACCGGGGAGTTGGAGGAGGTCGAAAGGCTGAAGAAGGAATGTGAAAATTCCCATTTATCCGCCCAGAGGCTGCGAGAGGAACTGGAGTCTCTCAAGTCCCGCTACGAGGCTGGTGGAAACAGCAACGTGGACTTGAAACCCGTTTTCCAACAGCCTATGGACGAACAGGACAAGGAACGGGAGGAGAGGCGAAGGAAGAAGCGAGAGGCTGCCATGCAAGAAGTGTTGAAGAGGCTGGAGAAACTGACTATTGGAGGGGAAGAGCAGGCGAACACGGAGATGAAGAGACGCCGTGAGAAGAGGAGGAAGAAACTGACTGCTCTTGCTTCGGCCTTGGAGGCTAGCGCCCAGGAGGGCAACGGAGGTGTCTTCCAAGTCTACGGGCAGCTTAGGTTAGTCACGAAAGTTGTCCACTTTAGGGTTAGGTCTGACAAGGGAAGGCTCAGAAGTGATACTCACCGATTGCAATGAAATTTGGTAGACTGATAGATCTATATCTAGAATAAGTGTATCACTTCTGAGCCTTCCCTTGTGAGTTTATGTCTGGTTAGCTTATAATCTTAGCTTATAATAAGTATCGTAACGGTTCCAATAAGTGTACTCTCGAGCAGGTCCACGGAAGACGCTCTGAAGCGTATGGCGAAGCGTGTGAAGCAACTGGAAGCGGAGGCTGCTGATCTTCAAGCTTCTTGGGACGCGGAGCGCCGCGACCTTCTGCGCAGAGAGCTGCTAACGTCGCAGATTTGCGACGCGATGATCCCTCATCTTCGACCGGGTTGCCCGTTCCGCGACGTGGTTGCCGTGCGAACTGCGGCAACCTGGTCCGACGAGCTGAGCCGGTGGCGGCTACCCGACGTGTCGCCGCACATACCTCTTCCTCCACCGTCGTTGGTGCCCAAGGACAATATACAGTACTCCATAGTGCCTTCCACGCCTGACCTTAACAATAATAGCAATAACAAAGACAACCAGGACGAGGTCAGCAACGACGCTGACAACGAAGAGAGCAGCGAGCAGGAGGAGACCAAGAAGATGGACATCGCTGACACGTATTTTAGACGGAGCAGGATCGACAAGCTCCTGGCGCACGTTAGACAAGCGAAAACTTTCGGTTAGTACGCGATTAAATTAGAAAGATGGTTAGAAAGAATCGTCTCTTCGACGGCGATTTACTGAACCACTGATGCACCATCGGTATGTTGCAGAGCCCAGCAATCGGATCAGCAGGTCCGGTGGTTCCGAGGATACCATTCCGATTGGGGGCAATTATCTTCAGTTGAACGCTCTGAATCTGCAGAGCAGCGCACCGGTAATCGGTGAGGTGGACAGCTACAAGCCTACGCAACGTCTGCCAACGGGGCGCTATGGTCGACCTGGTTGGATGTTGGAGGAGAAAAAGAAGAATCATCCGCGGATACTGGAGGCTTTGCCCTCGTACCCGCATGGCATGAACGGAATTAAGCTCGCGAACAGGACTCTGTCGGAGAGGATATCCGATAATAAGTTGTCGACGAGGCTGATTCACGACGATGTCGCTGACGGTCGTCCCAGGTTAGTTGGACATGCACGTTCCCCTACGTATTGATGTTAAGGATACGACAACTTTGGAACTTTGGACCGATGGATCAGGAAGATATCGGTGGACATTTGCGAGGTACCTTCCATACTTTGAGTGTCACGCCATGTAAACGATATCGGGATGTCCTGTAAGAACGGAAAGAATACGTTAGGATGGTTTGGGAATTTTACAACACTCTATAAAAGAATAAATAGTATTACTACTGGGGGAAATTAAAGTCGATTGAGAACACTTGGAACGTAATAACATAATGACACACGTTGTGTCACGTGTAACGATAATTTGCTTTTTGTGATATCGTTTTACAGAACTGGCTTGGTACACAATATGCTAATTAAGTTTATCTGTTTACCTTTTAAGAGGATCGTAAGAAATTGATCCCAGTCATACTTCTTCTAGGAAGCAGCGTCTGAAATACACGCAGGGCGTTCCAGCAGACCATGAGGTATACGTAAAAATAAACAAAACATACGCGATACTCTTCGTCCTCGAGCTGGAATCATCGCGATGATTTACTTTCGACGAAACTAACCTGGTCACCGTTGCATAAAGCCGCTGCTACGCTTCTGGGTCTTTGGCAATTCGACATACTTCTAAGGGAACGTTGCCCGATAAAAATTTCCAAATCGGCCGAAACAGGCGCGATGCAATCGCCTCTGTAAAAAGGAGAAACCGTGGACAGAAAAGTCACGCGATTTGTTAAAAGAAATTGGTAGTTGGGCCAACGGCCACCTGGCGGAACGTTTTCGGCGCTCGTTGGATTTACGAAGTGTATAGAAAGGTGATAACCGTTTTCACTCGACGCCAAGCGTCGTTAATGTGCCAGAGAAAGGACCAAAGCCGTGAAAACGTGTTCACGGCTCTCCGTGTGTGCGGTTGTACATAGTCCTTGAGCTTGTTAGATCTCGTTCAATTATGGCTGCGCCACCTTTCCGTGTTGCTACGTTGATTGCAGGATTAACCCTTTGCACTCGAGAGATGACTCTCAGTCGCCATTAGGTTTCAAGCAGCAAATCTATAATTGTTTCTTTAGATTTAATTATCTACAAATGTTTCTTTAGGCTTAATTTCTTTGGAGTTCGAAGTGTCGATAAAATGGTTGTCGACAAGGTAAAGGTGGCCTGATTAAGCTTAGAATTCATGGCAATAGAATGCTAAGAAAACATCTCGAGTTGCTGGTAGATACCAGAAAAAAAGGCCTCGAATGCAAACGGTTAAGGGACAGAGGGCGGATAGCAACGGCGAAAAGCTGGTGAAATTCGCTGACAGGATTGCGTAATTTATTTAGACGAAATTATGTTTTAAACCGAACTTCCTTTCATGTGAAAGCCATTAAGGCGAGACGAATAATAGTGGTCTTTCATTGTCCCATTGTTTCATATCGCAGCATACTGATATCTCGTGACATATTGTTCTGCAACATGTGAATCACTATTATGAACCAAAAGTGATAGTTAACTAGTCGACGATAAAAGTCTTGTAAAAACCTTGTCCAGGAACACTCGTTATTCGATTCCTTAAATAATAATACATAATTATGCTTTTAAAAATGAAATGTTGTTATCTGTTTAAGAAAAAGATTAACGTTCCATTGTTAGGTTCCATTTTCCTAACTAAACTTCCTAATCTCGAAAGAAGGGATTATGTGCACACCCTACGGTGAACTGCAACAAATATTTTCATTAAATGTAGCAACCTTGAATATCGGCATTAAAGCCGGAGTTTTTGTAACGAAATCCGGAAAGGTGTCAGCTCTGTATTTATCTACGACTGTGTACATAAGATGAAATAAACAGAGTAAATGAATCACGATATCTTCCGTTGTTCGTGTCGCATTATTTTCCTCCTTGCTCGCGAACATTCTTACTACGTGCGATTAAAATAGATAATAAACATATATCGCAATTTTTTTCGTTGAATAATTGAAAAGGAAGCCAGTCATGATCAATCACGTTTTGTAAGTCCTTGTTCATAGTGAACGAGTAACTTCGTGAAACTGTACATATATAGTACATACATAAGTGATACTATATTCTCGTGTTATCGTACAAAATCTTGGAAATTTTTTTCCTGTGCGTTGGGAAATACTTTTGACCAGGAGCGTATGTATATATTTGCATACACCTATGTCAGAACCGAGACGACCAAAGATCAAGCATCTCCACTCGAGCTTCGGTGAAATTATACAGCCATCGGCTACACGGGTTCGTTGAGCAGCTGAGTAGCTCTCTCCTAAAATAACGCGCTTACTTTCCACCGATTCCTTCGGAAAGATGGAGCCCGTGAACGGCAGCGGTACTGCGTAAGCGATGCGCGGTCATTCCGTCCGATAATTGGACTGCGCGATTACGTTCTCGGTGAATTTTCATTCCTAATGGTCGCTGCTGACTCACCGGACGATTTTCTAATCGTAAGACTTTCAGCGGGCCCAGATGCCGTATTTATCACTGGAGAACCGCAGGAAAAACAGTTTGGCGCGAGAGAGATTTACGCACACAGGTGGAAAAAGATTAGTCGTTTTATAGTCTTTTCTGAGATTACTGCGATGGAACAGCACTTCCTGGTCGACGAATTCTTGGTAACGACCTGCGCATATTCTCGTACAGTAGACCTACTCCGGATGATGAATATTCTTGCGAAAGCGAGAAAAGATATAACGTTAAAGCAAGAAATCAATCGTTATATAACCAATCCTTCCTAATAAGATTCGAACCTGAAATATGAAATAAAATGAATGATGAAATAAAAAGTAGAGATAATGTTCCAAACATTGTCGCTTAAAATTGTCGACGAAAGCGATCAACTCACAGAAAGCGTAATTACTCGGTTTAAGAGGCTCGTTATAACACCCACAGGTGATGCCACTATGGCGTCAATGGCCGCTCTAGTCTCTACTCGTCCAGTCACTTTCTTTCACGCGGGAGAACCAGTTCGGGGAAGCCGTCCCGAAGATTCGCGTATCTAAAAACAAATGAAGACAATCTGAAGTAATGCGTGCAAGAAATAGAACTTCCCGTTCGAGAAACCGAGCTCGAGACCTCTGTCGCAGTGAAAATATCGTAAATGTTTTGTCGAGGCGTTCGTAGAAGCGTGGGTCTCCTCGTTAAACGAGCGCAAACATTCGAAGAGAACGAAAGCGAACGATGAAAGAAACCAGCCTGGCGATGGGTTACTTTTACTTTCTCTGTTTTGCACGAAACGCGAAACAGCATCGCCTGCCGGTAGAGGTCGAACGGAGTCCGCTTTCCCCGTCGTTCCGCTTTGATCTCGTCGCGACCGGTCTCGAAACCCTTTGTGATTCATACGTGTACGCCGAAGACACTTTCGACACGTCGGTAAAGTTTCGGTCGCTCGTGTCCGATCCTGTCGACCGGTTCACGGTTTTAATTCTAATAAATTCGTTAACCCGAAGCGATCACTTTCGCGATCGGAAGACGCACGGACCGTTTTGCTCACTCTTTCCGATACAGTCCGTCGCAAAAGTCTACGCATGCGTCAGGGGTGAGGCGATGTTCGAAAAGAACGCATCTAAGTGGATCCGATCGAACTAGGGTTGCCGTTACAAAACGTTTCGCTGAACCTCGTCCTTTCACCTTGCTTTCTCCTACCTGCGTGTTCTTCTACCATGCAACGAACAAAATTGTTAAATTTAACGATACGATACGAGTTAACGATGCGTTCGAAAACTAACGTTTAGTTCTGTTTCGAATTTGGAACGCCTTTCCAAGTTTGGACGTCTTTAATGGCGCCGGCACGCCTTTTTTTTGCAATCGAACTGTCGGCTAACCGTTGCAAAAGACGGGATTAAATAACATAAGACCTCTTCGCAGCCGGAGCAATTCCGAAACATATTCCTAACGCGAACTTTTCCTGCAACGAGGAAATACTGGGTAATTCATACTTTTTTTCGCGTATATTGCGAAATGCACAATTAAAACTTGGAACGTTTCCTTCCACCACATCCGTTCCGCGCAACGTTATCGTACCCAGGAACTATAACGAGCCCATAACGCTAGATACTTTCATTCCAAGAATGGAATTTATTATTTTAATCGCGATATTAACGCTACGTCAATTTATAATTGTTTTACAAATGTCAACCGATAATTTGTTTGTCTATACTGTAATTTATCGATCCCTAGCATTAACGAATTTATACATATAATTAACCGCTAACCGTGGAATGTAATGTTATCGACGACCATGACCTTTTCCAGACTTCCGCAGTTAAAAAAGAATCATAAAACATTTTATAACTTTTTAGTTGCAGCAACTCGTTTAAATATCAAGAAAAATGTGAAGCATCGTATAAACTCGTCGGAATGCGGCTAAAAGTATTCGTGGTACTCTAAAAACAATACAAGAACGTATCTTAAGAAAAGAATATTTTTGAATCCGATTAAACTTTCTTAACCGACTCTATAATCTATTTAGATTTAGATCTATTTAGATAATTTCAATATTTACAACGTTGACATTTAGTGTGGAGATATTTTTATGGTAATAGAAATCGCGCTGACCTTCGCAAATTTTCTTATAAGATTATCAAGCCTTAGTTGCCCCGAGATAAGAAATTTATTTACAATTAATTAAAACGCAAAATTATTCGCAGCTTATCGGAACAAAAATGATCGTTGAAAATATTTTCGGGAATTCCGGTTAATAAACGCGGGGTCAAGGGAACACGCGAAACACCGTGTTTCTATTAATGCAGATCGCCAGAGACAAAACGAAGAAACACGAGTCTCGTATCTTTGGATTGCGTCACGCTAGATGTATTTTCAAGTTGAACTTGCAGATAACGAATTAACCCGAAGTTTCGACCGCGCTGTGGATTTCCATCGCTCTGGCCTTTTAATTCTAATCGCTGTCTGCTTCGGAGAAACATGAAATTACAGACGACGATGCTTCCGAGATACTAAAGAGGAAGACGGGCTGCCACGTAACGTGAATCAGAGCAGAGCACTGACCTTGGTGCTGTACACTGAAACATTTCACGAGATAGCTGCTGCGTAAAACCACAACCTAAGAATTCTCGTTCAATAATTAGTGGACCACCTTGTATATTACGAATTTTTGTTCGTTCAAATCACCCTGGCCATTATAAATTCAATATACACTTCCACGCGTAGAATGTCGCGCGAAATGTTTTTTTTTTCTTTGCGCTCGCTTCACTGTTTACACCGTTACGAATCTGACCTACCCAAAAATAGCCATCGAGTTTACATACACGCAACGTACGGGTGTATATATCTTTCTACGTCAACATTACCAAGCCCGAGACAGTCCATTTAGAGAAGGAATTTTCAATTCTTGGAAGATGAACTTGGAGACGAATACAATTCATGGAACGCTCGGGTCACCGTGTACGCGAGTTGGTAACCATCTGTGTAGACAAAGGTAAGCAAAATACCAGTGTAGATAAACACTTCAAGTGACGAACAAAAGATAAAGAACTCGCGCGTTACTCATCGAACAGATAAATTATTGCGCCACGCTACGCTCCATTGTCCACGCTCGTGTCGTGAAAATGTATCAATAAATGGAGCTGCAGAAAATGTTTATACTCACTGTACACGTACCATGGTCGTGAGGGCCATGTAAATGGTCATAAAACGAATCTGTAGCAAAGGGAGATGCAATTGCTTCTTTGTGAGCTCCCCTTACGAGAGCATCACCGGCAACGACGATTACAAACTGTAGCGATTCCTCGTCGTATTTCCTATGGGTTCCCGAGACTACACGTCGAGCGATAACGGTCTTTCTTGAAACAGCCAGTACGAAACGCGCAAGCCGTGCGCAACATCGGTGCCTGAAATAAGAGTCAACCAGTTAACTGTAGTCTACAGTCTGTAGATGCCACGAGTCGTGTTTACGAACGGCCGAGAACCTCGAGAATCGCCAGCCTCTCTGGCACTGACATTTCGCCCTTAACCAAACGGAATCGAAGAGGGGAGAGGGCACCCTATTTACGTGATGTCTAATAACTCGTTCAATCCGCATACGTGTGCAATCTTATCTTCGCAGCGAGGAAAGAAAGGTTACGGATACAGTTACGTAGCGGAACTTTGATCCAGAAATGCACCACGTGTTCGAGTTTCGCGTGAACTGGCAATTCTAAAACAGATAGGAATTATCAGTCGAGCCGAAATTGTAGCGCGAAGTCTGAATCTAACTACAGAGGAACGCGTTAAGCACACTCTTTCGGTGTTAATAAGATATAAATATTGAATGACAGAATGATTTCAATATTATACAGACTTTCTGTGTTTTGATTAATTCATGAAACCGGTAGAGGCGAGGTGGTACGAGATACGTGACTTAAAAGATATTACAATTAAGGAAATGATTGATTTTTGATTCAAATATTGAATCATCCGATCGAGTTCCCACTTACCACGTGCAGTTCGAGTCTCGCAGTCTACTCACTAACCCCATGTGTCAACGATTCCACGATCGTTCGTCGTGATCTCGGTTTCGTGTCGTTAGACGCACGAACCAATTAAATCTGATTACATTTCGCGCGACTATTTCGTGCGGCAAAAAAAAAAACGCTCGTTGGACCATCGCGAGAGGGAACAATGGAGTCCCTGTCGACGATTATAGCGAATCGGACGCGCGTGTTCATCTAAAAACACCGGACTCAGGATCACAAAACGAGTGATGTACGATCATCGACAGAACACTCAGTTCCAAGTCCAGCGATATACAACCAGTCACGGCTGCTTGTTGCCGGCGGAGAGGGTTCAAAAGAGAACGGAGCGTCAAACCAGCAGAGAGACGTAACGAGCCAGTCGCCAGCTGGTGGCCGGTCTACGTGGATCGTGTAGTCCCACCGAGTGTGGCAGTGCTTTTTTTCCTTTTTTTTTTAACGCGCGTACATCGGACACGCAGAGGCAAATCGCGATAAGCGGGATTCTATGGAAGAGAAGCGACATGACGACTTAGTTTCCGTTGGGTCCCTTCCGAACGAAGAAGGCTTCCTGCGTCTCGAATATTATATACAGTACAATATATATATATATATACATACATATACATATATATATATAGATACACATAGTCATCGCCGGATCAAGATTTTGTAGATCTCCAAGCTACAGATAACGTGAGTATATAGCAGCAAAACCTTGATCTGACAGCGTTCTACCGGTCCCGTGTCGATACATCTCTCAGGTTGTACGATTGTTCAGTTCTTCTCCATGTCATTCCAAAATTCCATCGTTTCTCGAAAACCGTGACGTGCTGAAAAAACGAAATTCGATTTAACGATAGAAATTCTGTAAAAGATCATCTTATCGAAGGTTAAAATTTTTCTCTCATCTCGAACACGTTACTCGGTGGCATTCTTTGTTACGCTTCGCGGTAGCATCTACTCGTTGAGAAGTGTCGATCGGTAATTTTCAATATAAAAAAGTATTCCGCTTGAAAATACGTAATTTGTTGTTCTAAGAAATACATTCAGTCAGATAAATTGAGGTTTTGCCCTATATGTATAACAAGTTCTCGACTATATATATATATATATATATATATATATATATATTTATATATGTATATGTATATGTTACATTATGTACTGTATACTGTACGGTGTTTATTTTTGTGGCAACGTGTTCGCTATAAATCTACACACACGATACACGAATCATCCCATTTCTCGAATAGATAAATGCACGTAATTTGATTCAGACTTTGGTTGCAACTTGACTAATCGAACGAGATAATTTATCTCACCAAATGAAATAAGTTTCGATTTATTTGTGGTGGCCCTCCAGTTGACGGAGGCCCCCCTCTGAAGCCTATGCCTTGACCGGACCCTGTATACAATATACACACACCGATGAGAGTGTGGCCCCAAGCAGGATGTCGTCGGTGTTTTCCAAGTTAATCGACAAGACGTCCGCCAAATACGGCATCAGGCAGGAACTGCTCACGCGTGGCGTGATTGGTACGGTGACGACGCTGTATCTTCTGAAGATCGGTTACCCGTTGGTGGCATCGGGCATCGCGCGGTACCAGCAGAAAATTAGAGAACAAAATGAGGGCTCGTCGAAGGTTGCCAAACGGTCCAAGAACGACGTTAACGGGAAAACCGTCGTCAAGACGGGGAAGACCGTCGGCTTGGACCGGAACTTCGTCAAACAACTGATCGCACTGTTGAAGATCATGATCCCTGGATGGAGAACGCGCGAAGCCGGATTACTAACTTGTGCCACTCTCACGCTTCTGACGAGGACTTTTCTTTCGGTTTACGTGGCCACATTGGAGGGCCAAATCGTGAAAAGGATCGTGCTGAAAGATGTACGTGGCTTCCTGAAGATGATGGCGAGATGGTTCGCCATCGCTTTTCCCGCAACTTTTGTCAACTCGGCAATCAGATACCTGGAAGGGAGACTGGCTCTTAGCTTTAGGTATATCTTCACGAGTTTCAAAATACAAAATTATTATCATTTTACTTATTCTAATAATTATACAAGCTTGCTTACGATTATTTATTATTATATTTTTCTGTTTCTTAAGGGGACGCCTGGTGGAGCATGCCTATAAAATGTATCTGAGTCAACAAACTTACTATAGAGTAGCAGCGTTAGACAATAGACTCGGAGGTGCTGAGCAAAGACTGACAGATGATTTGTCTGAACTAGCTAGTTCTGTGGCGCATCTCTATTCAAGTTTAACTAAGCCATTGTTAGACTGTGCATTAGTGGGCATTGCACTTATTTCATTTTCATCTAAAATGGGAGCAAGGAGGATACAAGGTAAGATATTTTTCAAGAATGTATAATGTGAATGTGTCTGTTAATAAAAGAATTGTTCAACTGTCACATTGGTATTTGAATACCATTTTTGTTGCAGGACCATTATTAGCATCCACGGTAATTGCTATCACTGGACAAATTCTGCGTCTTGCTTCACCCAAGTTTGGTCAACTGGTAGCAGAAGAAGCATCTCGACGTGGAAGGTTGAGAGAAGCTCATGCTCGTATCAGTGCTCATGCAGAAGAAATTGCATTTTATGGTGGACACTGTACAGAGCATCGGTATTTGAGTACCGCATACAAGTCACTAGTGTCACATTTGAGAAGAGTGTTGGCAGTGAAATTGTGGTACGTGATGCTGGAGCAATTGCTTATGAAGTATGTGTGGTCTGGCACTGGACTTCTGGTTATTGCCATGCCTTTACTTTACACTACTGTCACTTCTGGGACTGGAACCTTTGCTGATGATGGCGACGGTGTGTATAGATGTTACATAAATTTATACACAATTGGAAGTGAATGAAGTGTTAGTAGAACTATTTATTTATAATATAGGTGGAGTTAGCGAAAGGACTAGATACCTAACAACTTCCAAGAACCTTCTAAGTTCTGGAGCAGATGCCGTAGAAAGACTTATGTCATCTTACAAAGTGAGAAATTTGTTAAAATCGTGTTGTGGTTTCAATTGCATTAACTTATGTAATAATTTGTTATAGGAACTAGTAGCATTAGCAGGGTATGCAGGACGAGTCAGCGAGATGTTAGACGTATTTAAAGATGCTGCGCTATGTAAATATAGGAGAAACATCGTTAATAATCCATTGCGAATAGCAAACGGTACTGGAAATAATGCTTTAGAGAAAATAATCGACATGAAGGACGGCGCACCAGTGATAAAAGGTAAACTTTCCCCGTGATATGTGACATTATATGTATATAGTTCGTGAGATACTAATAAAGAAACAAACACTTTCGCCAGGTATTGTGGAAGAAAGTACAGATGGCAGTATAAGTTTAATCAATGTGCCAATAGTTACGCCAAACTGTGAAGTCATTGTGGCTAGGTTAACTATTCATGTAAGTATAAATTAAGAAATGAATGACTTTGTATTGCATTGGTACGACATTTATATCGGTATTTTTGTAGATAAAACCTGGTGACCATATATTAATCACTGGTCCAAACGGTTGTGGAAAAAGTTCACTGTTTCGGATCATCTCTGGTTTGTGGCCAGTATACGGTGGTACTTTGATAAGACCAGCCGAAAATTACCGTGGAAGACCAGCACTGTTTTATATTCCACAGAAACCGTACATGACGGTCGGTTGTTTGCGAGACCAAATTCTGTACCCTTCGGAATCGCATACGGAAAAGTGCTCGGACGAGGAACTCCTAAAACTACTGGAAGAAGTCGATCTACGAGGATTGGCGGAAAGAGAACCCGAAGGACTCGATGCTTTCGGTGATTGGGATTCTACTCTTTCGGGTGGCGAGAAACAGAGGCTAGCAATGACACGATTGCTCTATCATGCACCGCAATATGCGTTGTTAGATGAATGCACCAGCGCTGTGAGCCTCGAAGCCGAAGGGGTCATATACGAAACTGCTAAAAGAAAAGGCATAACATTGTTGACTATCACTCATCGAGTGGCTTCTCTTGCGAAATACCACAAACTATTGTTGCGGTTCGATGGTGCAGGCGGTTGGGCTTTCGGCCCATTAGACGCAGAAAGTGCAACGCTGGTAATAAATCACGCTCTTGAACAATCCGAACAACACGAAGGGAAAGGAGGCCACTGTCAGATGTTGCATGTACGTTCAAAAACTGTTTTCTACTTACTACTCGATGCCTTTGAAATACATGTACTTATCTGTATAATCTAACTGGCAAAATAGTATCTGATATGTTTCTCTGTTCTTGCAGGAATTTCGCGACATTCACCCAGAAGACTCGAAAATTGGAATCAGTTGAAAAGGGTTCAACGAGATACTTCAAACCGTTTTTAGTGAATTCATGTAGAAATCTGCGAAATTGTAAATATATCTTCGAGAATATATTTTGTACAGAGGTTTACAGCAATTTCCGATTAGATACTTTATTTTTGTATTGAGGAAAAGTTGCTATTTAATTACATGAAATATAAGTAAAAGTTGTTTGGATACCAGTGCCTTAGGATTTGTTTATAATGATTAAACGCGTTTAAACTGAAACGTTAGCTATCCTGTCCAGATTTG